CTGTTTTGTATATATATATATATATATATATATATATGTATGTCGCACTAGAGTCACAGAAAGTGTCATCGTAGTGTCACCTTTCAGCAAAGCTTTCATATATATTTCATATATATTTAATTATTTATTCTGAAATTATTATTTATTAAAGCTTGATGCTAAAAGGTGTGGTGTATTGCTTGCAGTGCTGCTTTGCAGTTTCTAGGGATTTCTGGATGTTTTTTTGGTGATAGAGCCTGTACCTCATATAATATTCAGGCCCATACCTTGAACTTGTCTATGGGAATTTTTCACATTTTGTTTTATTATAATTTTTTTGTTGTTGTTTTGTGTTTTGTTTTGGTCTGTTGGGGTTGTCAGTTGTTTATGCTTTTGGTTTAGTTTTTTGGGTTTTTGTTTTGAGTTTTATTTATTTTATTTTTTTGTTGTTGTTTTTTGTTTGTTTTGTTGTGTTTGTTTTTTTGTGTTTTTTGCTTTGCTTTGATTTGCTTTATGTTTTGCTTTATGTTTGCTTTTTGTTTTCAGGGCAAAAATTCAAGTTAGATTACTTAAAAATATATTAGTGCATCTCTTTTCAACACGTGACTTGATTTTAAGTATGAAGTTTATACTTCAACTTTAAGGATTTTTTAATGGTTTAGGTGTGCGTAAATGCATTAGAGACATGGTGTGAAAACTAACGTCCTGTTTGGCTGATTGTTGATTCCCCGTGATGGCTCGTTATTCAGGCACAGCTCGGGTCCTGGTGACACCTCCACGGCCACTGAGCTCGGCAGCCGCCGCCGATGGCACATAGCCAGCCCTGCCTCCTGCAAATGAGTTTTTCGCTCGCCCTGTTCCACCCCTACGTCGGCTCCCGTGCTCGTGCATGGAGACGCTCACCACAACACATTCACCTGTCTCCATGACAGGAGACTCAATTCACACTCATCAGCGGCTTCTCGGCTTCCTTACTCCATCTGCAGAAAAAACCCTGCGGTTCCTCGCTCTCAGACTAAATTTAGCTTGGGTTACGTCTACTACACAGTCTGGGCCTGTCCACCGGCAAACAATTATAGCAAGATCGGCAGTCTCCTTCAATAATGGAGTTCTTTAAATGAATTCTGGAAGCAGATACTCTGTGATCTAGCAACATCCATCATAGAGATGTTTTTTTTTCTTTTTCTGAAAACCTCATTCAGCTGAAAACCAGTGTGATTTTCTCATCTGAAAAATGTTGCTAATATGATCCAGCATGCTTCTGGTAAATAGTATTAGGGGTCTATGTGGATCTGCACAGGTCAATAAAACCTAAACATGCTCTGCAAATGTGATGCTTTG